TCTAAATGATCTGATGATCCGTATCATACTTGAATGAATGGCTACAACATTCACTTATAAATCAAGAATTTAAATATTGGGATGCATCTGAAGAAGTGAGGTTTTTTACCCATGAAAGCTTATGTCCAAATAAATCGGTTAGTCTTTAAGGTGCCATTGGACTCCTTGTTGTTTTTGTGGATACAGACTAACACATGTACCCCCTGATACTAAACAAAAGAAGTGACTCACGCAAAAGGATTCTGGTTGTGGTTTTAATTCTTCCAATAATTTAATCAGATATGTATGCTTTCTTCAACAGTGTAGAGAAGCTCAAAAGAACAGGCAATATTTCCCAGGCAGGTGTAAGACAAAGGATACATAATGGACTGTTTTTACCTTGATCCATTCAGAGGTAGTGGCAGGTAGAAGAGTCAACATAAACAAACCAGAACCTCCAAAAGTAGACAGATTGAGCAGCTACAGTACAGATTTGCTAATGTGTCTTGCCTGAAAGTCTTTTTCTGCTACTGAATTAATGCAGTGAGCAAAACAAGTTTAAAAAGAAAATGAGTATTTAAATTGGATGGTTAGGCCCAAATTCTCTGCTTCATTGAGCTTCTGCTCCATGCAAAAGAAAGATTGGAGCAATGTGAAAGCTGGCTACAGCACCCTGAGGTTCTGAGCAAATTTGTGCAATCCTGAGCCCTGGTGTACATTCAAGCAGCCTTTGGGCTTCTCTAATTTTTGCCACCTGTGTGTGGTTTCTAAGAGACTCCATCCCAGTTGCATTGCACTCTGGACACACCCTATATGCTGAGACCAGGTGGTGGGTGACGAGGTTGGCTCAGGAAACAGACATAGTGGCTCTGCAACAGCTGTGAGCTCCCCTACACTCTGGTGATGCAAAGGCCCTGAGAAGGCATTGAAGAATCTGGCCCTGCATGTTCTTTTAATACAGTTTTCAACATGTAATTATTAGGGCTGTCAATTAATCACAGTTATCTCATGCAATTAACTCAGAAAAATTAATCACTATTAATCGCATTTACAACAATAGAATACCAATTGAATTTTATTCAATATTTTTGGATGTTCTTCTATATTTTCAATATTGATTTCAATTACAACACAGAGTACAAAGTTCACAGTGCTCACTTTATATTATTTTTGATTACAAATATATGCAATGTAAAAATGATAAACAAAAGAAAAAGTATTTTTCAATTCATCTCATACCATTACTGAAGTGCAATCTCTTTATAGTGAAACTTACAAATGCAGATTTTTTTTGGTTATATAACTGCACTCAAAAACAAAACAATGTAAAACTTTAGAGCCTACAAGTCCACTCAGTCCTACTTCTTATTCTGCAAATTGCTAAGACAAACATGTTTGTTTACATTGATGGGAGATACTGCTCCCTGCTTCTTACTTACAATGTCACCTGAAAGTGAGAATAAGCATTTACATGGCACTCTTGTAGCTGGTGTTGCAAGGTATTTAAATGCCAGATATGCTAAACATCTGTATGCCCCTTCATGTTTCGGTCACCATTCCAGAGGACATGCTTCCATACTGATCCTCGTTAAAAAAATAATTTGTCAATTAAATTTGTGACTGAAGTCCTTGGAAGGATAATTGTATGTCTCCTACTCTGTTTTACCTGCATTCTGTATATATTTCATGTTATAGCAGTCTTGGATGATGACCCAGCACATGTTCGTTTTAAGAACACTTTCACAGCAGATTTAACAAAACGCAAAGAAGGTACCAATGTGAGATTTCTAAAAATAGCTACAGCACTCGACCCAAGGTTTAAGAATCTGAAGTGCCATCCAAAATCTGAGAGGGACGAGGTGTGGTGCATGCTTTCAGAAGTCTTAAAAGAGCAACACTCTGATGCAGAAACTACAGAACCCGAATCACCAAAAAAGAAAATCAACCATCTGCTGGTGGCATCTGACTCAGATAATGAAAATGAACAAACATCAGTCCACACTGCTTTGGATCATTATCGAGCAGAACCCGTCATCAGCATGGACGCATGTCCTCTGGAATGGTGGTTGAAGCATGAAGGGACATATGAATCTTTAGCGCATCTGGCACGTAAATATCTTGCAATGTCAGCCACAACAGTGCCATGCAAATGCCTGTTCTCATTTTCAGGTGACACTGTAAACAAGAAGCAGGCAGCATTATCTCCTGCAAATTGTAACCAACCTTGTTTATCTGAGTGATTGGCTGATCAAGATGTAGGACTGAGTGGACTTGTAAGCACTAAAGTTTTATATTGTTTTATTTTTAAATGCAGGGGTTTTTGTACATAATTCTACATTTGTAAGATCAATTTTCATGATAAAAAGATTGCACTAAAGTACTTGTATGAGTTGAATTGAAAAATACATGTTTTTGTTTTTTTACACTGCACTGCAAATTTGTAAAAAAATAAATATAAAGTGAGCACTGTACACTATGTATTCTGTGTTTAACTGAAATTAATATACTTGAAAATGTAGTAAATATCCAAAAATATTTAAAATAAATGGTATTCTATTGTTGTTTAACAGCACAATTAATTAATTAATATTTTAATCACTTTTATCAATTTTTTAATCGCTTGACAACCCTAGTAATTATTAAGAATTAAACATTACTAGTCTATGTTTAATTATGAATGTCATTGGAGTTCTATGGAGTTTATTGTGGAATTCTTGATACACAAGGATTTAGTAATAATGGTGGGAATATTTTTTAAAATTTCCCCAGTACAGAAATGCTAAAGGGGGAGCAATTATTTCCAAGACATACTGCATGGTTCAATGGCACCTACTGACATTATTAGTCAGATCATTCTGTTGCCTCTACAATTAAAGCCATTATCTTATGTTATGCAGCATCTCTCAAATGCAGCTCACCGGACCAGCTGAACTCAGACGTACAGTGGTGCTGGGATACTTCAGTGTTAGACAGGAAGGGTCTGTCACCCATTCAGAAGTCATCCCTATCTCCTGATAACAAAACAACACAGAACATTGTCATTCTGGCTGCAGAATTAGAGCCAAACTGTGCAAGTTGGAGCACCCCTGTTAACATTATGGGAAGTGAGGGCACCTTTCAGGATCAGGCTCATAATGCAGAGCTAGTGACTCTTTACTAGAGGGAAAGTGTGTGCAGAGGGTAAATTCAAGCACCAGAAGGAATTCTAACAACATTATTACTATTATACCTTGCTCTTATATAGCATTTTCATCAGTAGATCTCAAAGTGCTTTACAAAGGAGGTCAGTAACATCATGCCCAATTTAGGTATACTGAGGCACAAAGAGGAGAAGGGACTTGTCCAACATCAATCAGCAGACCAATGGCAGAGCCAGAACTAGAACTCTGGTCTCCTAACATCAAATAGATCAGGTCAGAGCCAGACATGCAAAGGGGAAACCTTACTCAGATGATTAAGACTTGTTTGGGAGAAGAGAAAGATGGGACTTTCCTCAAATATATTCTTAACTGCTGAAAACAGAAACACAATTTTTGTCTAACCATATGAATCACATTATGTCTGTTCATTAAACAGTTTGCAGAGTCATTGTAGCTGTGTTGGTCCCAGGATGATCTGAAGAAGAGCTCTGTGTGGCTCAAAAGCATGTCTCTTTCACCAACAGAAGTTGGTCCAATAAAAGATATTAATTTAACTACTTTGTCACTGTTCATTAAATGACGCTGACAGAAAAAGAGCATAATTCAAATCCAGTGCTGGTGCAAGGATATTTTGCGCCCTAGGCGAAACTTCCACCTTGCGCCCCCCCTCCGGTCTGGGGAGCCAGGACCATCCCTAGCTATTTTGGTGCCTTATGCAGCCCCCCCTGCGGGCCTCTATGGGGGGGGGGGCTGGCCCCAGGTTTCCGTGGAGGACGGGGGAGAA